CACGCTTGTTATATTCTAGTATATTAAAGAATAATAGGATTTGAGAATAATTATTATACAGAAAAATGCATTACAATAAAACACATTTATTTGGCCCCGCGCTTTTCATCCTTTATGTTACTAGAATTCCTCTAGAATTCACTAGTATTGTATTGCGTACGCACTAAAAAGTCGGCATACCTAACAACACTGTACGTGAGCATTATGATCTTAGCTTAGGGAGCCAAAAAGCGATGCCGTTTCATCGGCGATCGGGCTTTTTATAGTCGCTCGGTTGAATCTTAAACACGAGTTCTTATTCCGTCTCTTGCGCATCGTAACGGCAAGCGGCCGTACTGCGCTCCTTCCTATTTCGACTACGGTCTATCCTAACTCTCTCAGTTCGATCAATCAATATATACAGGATGGGGAAAAAGTACCGGGATACTTGAATATACATAGAAAGTATTACAGAGAAGTGTTTCAGACAAAAGTTGTAGGGTTCCAAAAGATCTATTTACTGATCATATCGGTTTGACCTTGCGTGACGTCTTCAAGGTCAGGTCAAGGTCAGATCAATTTTTTTAAATGGAACACCTTATTTTTCATTGCATATTCATATAGCACATTTCGAGAGCTTTCCGAAACACTATAACAAAATATTTTTTCATGAAATACTTTTGGAATTATAAGGCTCGAAAGTTACAGTATAGTTGACATTTAGCATTACGCAAATTGTCCGACAGACGGCTAAAACCTCTTGAATGCTGTTCAAGATCATGTCCTGAATAACATTTGTCAAGATCAAGGCCATTGGAGATTATCCCTCTTATTTTCATTTTTGCACTAAAAATTTATTTATTGCAACCGGGACACCTAAATAACTTCTGACCGGTTCGAGATAGAGGATTGAAGTTTATAGGGATGCAAATGGCATCATAAAATCTATCATTTAATACCAAAAAAGCCCATTTTACACCCGCGGGAGGCGGGGAGAAGAGGGGCGGAAGAATCTTAAATTGGACGTGAGGTCGACTGAGGGCTCGTTTGAAAGGGCCTTCCAAGACGAGAACAACGCGTGGTGTCCCAGGTCTCTGCGATTTTTTTCGCAGAGTTATGATCATTTAAACATTGAGACTTCGCAGTAGCGGAGGGCTCACGGCGACGATCAAAAGTTTATTAATTTTTAAGCATTATAAACGTACAATGAAAAAAAAAATTCAAAGTTTATTGATATAACATACACACAAATTAGGAC